ATTCTCCGGAACCCCGTCGAACTTGACCTCGCTCTGCACCGAAGCGTCGTAGAACCTTCTCTGGATCTTTTTCCGGACCCCTGTTGAGCCTAACCTGGCTTTGCACCGAAGCCTCCCAGACCTTCTCCGGAACCTTCTCCGGAACCCTTTTGGCTCTGCACCAAAGCCTCCAACACTTTCTCCGGAACCTTCTCCTGAACCCTGTTGAACCGGACCCGACTCTGCACTCTGGAACCTTCTCCGGAACGCTGTTGAACTTGACCTGGCTTCTTGCACCGAAGCCTCCCAGACCTTCTCGGGAACCTTCTCCGGAACCTTGTTAAACCGGACCTGGCTCTGCACCAAAGCTTCCCCGACCTCCTTCGGAGCCTTCTGTGGAACCCTGTTGAACTTGACCTGGCTCTGCACCAAAGCCTCCCACACCGTCTGCGGAACTTTCTCCGGAACCCTGTTGAAACGGACTTGGCTCTGCACTCCGGAACCTTCTCCGGAACGCTGTTGAATTTGACCTGGCTCTGCACCGAAGCCTCCCAGACCTTCTCCGGAACCTTCTCCGGAACCCTGTTGAACCTGACCCTTCTCCTTCGGAGCCTTCTGCGGAACCCTGTTGAACTTGACCTGGCTCTGCACCAAAGCCTGCCACACCTTCTACGGAACGTTCTCTGGAACCCTGTTGAGCGTGACCTCCCAGACCTTCTCCGGAACTTCGTAGTGCACACCGGAGTTATTCTGGGCTGAAGACCCCATTAGCTTACGTTGTTGGGAATTATTAAATTTAGCTAAAACGTATTTTTTTTGACTAAACCGGTCTATTGGGTGCAGGAATGCCTTGCAGGAATGCCTCGCAGGAATTTCCTTACATAATTTTTTGCAGGAACCCTTCCAGAAACCATAACAAAACTTGCGGATGTCCGCTTTCTGTGACGGGCTGGTTCGTTTGTCATTAAATACTGGAACCATGGTACCTTGGAGCGATAGACCTGGAATCTGGAACCCTGAAACTTTACAAAACCACCAGAATTTATCCGAGAACCTTGGAAGCCTGTATCCTTAGGATCCTGGTGCGGGCTTGGAACTTTTGCCGCCGCGCCTGCCACGCAAAGCGGCCGCGGCGTCCATGGCGTCCAAGGCGACCAGAGACTACAGAGAGATACAGAGAGTCACCAAGTGCCGCGCCTGCAGAGTCACCAAGTGCCGTGCCTGCCACGCAAAGTAGCCGCGGCGTCCACGGCGTCCAAGGCGACCAGAGACTACCAGAGAGTCACCAAGTGCCTCGCGTGCCGAGACAAATTGATATAGACAAGTTGATACAAGGTCATAGAGACAAATTGATAGAGACACGTTGATAGAGACAAGTTGATCGACACGAGTTGATACAGACAAGTTGATACAAGTTGATAGAGACAAGTTGATACAAGTTGATAGAGACAAGTTGATACAGACAAGTGGATAGAGGCAAGTTGATAGAGACAAATTGATAGAGACAAGTTTATAGAGACAAGTTGATGGAAACAAACTCATAGAGACAAACTGATACAAACTGATAGAGACAAGTTGATAGAGACACGTTGATAGAGACAAATTGATGGAGACAAATTGATAGAGACAAGCTGATAGAGACAAGTTCATAGAGACATGTTGATAGAGGCGGACGCGGACGGCGGGCGGAGGGCGGACTGCGGGAGGCGGACGGCGGATGACGAACAAAAAGTAAGAACCCCACGCAAAGATGTGGGGAAAAAAATTGAGATCCCAATTTCATCATCCCAGATTGAGTCTGGTCCGGCAAGCCTTGTCCCATCCTGAACATTGGTTCGCGGGCCCTGCAGGGTGCTGCTTCGGTAAAATGATGAAAGAACAACCGCTTGAAAGCATCCAACCACAAACAAAAAATGGCAGCTCGTCATTTGTGATGCAGTGATTAGGAGTAAATTGCTATATAGCCTTGAAACTATACATTTGACTCAGTCGCTGCGCAAAAAGCTGGATGTCTTCCACCTGAGGGGATCGCGCAGAATTCCTAAATTGCCAACGACGTATATAGACAGGCGCAATACAAATGCAAGGGTCTATGAGCCCCCTTCTCAAGCTGCATTCCCTAATCAGCCCACCAAGAAAGTAAACACATGTTTCCAAGAATTAAATGAGAGGCGAGCAAGTTTGGCTGGACACAGTTTACGTGCGCCAAATTGTCGAGTTGGATGCCCTAGACAGCAGTGGCGGTTAGATTTAACGAAATCATCTACAATCGGATAAGCCAAACAGATTATAATGGGGACCCGGACCTTTTTCAAAACAAGACCATGTTACAGGCAGCGAGACAAAGGGTAGTATGAGATCATGCCAAGCGCCGAAGCATTCGTATGAGTTGCGAATGTCTGCGACTGAATGCCTGGCAAGAAAAAACAACCGCTTAGACTTTTGTACTCTTTTTCTTCAAGGCGTCTGTGCAAAAACACGATCCAATTTTGGCGAAGAATTGAGTTGCGCACTTTAAGATCCCATCGATGGATGTATGTATCTAATTACAACATTTCAAAAATGTTTTTTTTGTGTAATGGAACACGGATTTGGTGCGGCCTTTTTTTCCCAATCCCAAGCACACAAAATTAGATTAAAATAGTCGTGCCACAAGTAGCTTTCGTCCCCTTCCCTTTGGCCTCAAGTTTTGATGCGACGAGCCTCTTGCAATACACTGGGAATGTTGCAAATGATATGGGTATTCATTCAATTCAGTGCAGGGGTTGGGGCGGGGGAGGGTGGGGCAACAATGTCCATGTCGAATTGCGATTGCTACGGGTGTTGCCATGCGATGCTCGAATTATGTACTGGATTTTCTTCACATTTTCACCATATTATTTTTGCAGTTGTATTGCGAAATTTCAAACAAACACAACATTTTTTCAAATTTGTAGTTTCAAACTACACGTGTCAAATTTCATCATATTGCTTTATTTGAAAATGAAAACGTTGACGATCATTGACCTGTGGTATTGGTTTTGTTGAGTGTTTACCTGATTTGCGGCTGGTGTGTGATAGGTGTGCCTTTGGAGTCCTGGCGGGTTTTCATTGTGTTGGCGACGGGTCGGAAACACGTAGGCTGCATTGTGATTTTTTTTTGTTTCACCAAATTATGTAAAAGTAAAATTGTAGTGGGGCTAACTATGTTTTACAAACGGGTGCAATTTTTGGCCAACGTTAAAATTCCAATGTTGAACTTTGCAATTTTAAGTCGGCTTCAGGATGTTGATTTGACTGTTGGCTCATGGGGCCGTTGTGTGGCTGCCAAAACTGATGCTGTACAAATTCTGGCAGATATGAACGAAAATCCTCTAAATTTATTTTCTGTTTAAGGATCACAATGGGTGAAGTCATTTTGATTGACAAACTGTTTCTTGTGCATGGGATGGCACGCGCATGTTTCCTGTACCAATTTCCGTTCCTGCTTTTCATCGTTCGATGGTCGTTTCAAATTCAGCATGCCATTCGTGGGAAAAACATGCATTGCCAAAAATTGTCCTTGGACCCTTGTTTTGTTGTAGTGAAAGGGCCTCCTTAAGAATCCCAAAGTGAAAAGAACCATGGGACCAAATGAGAATTTCAATCATAGGGTTGAACGTCAGGAATATGCGACATGCATGTTTTTTGGTCGGGTACCCGTGAATGAAGGCCTTGCTGTTTTTGCCTGGCTCAAAGATATATAAATTTCTTGTGCGAGGTGTGATGCCAGATCATGTTCGGGTGCGCCGGCAAGAACAAGGGCCATGTCGTGCCAGACTTGCTTTCATCGTGACATTTCTGATGGCTGTGTTGCACCCCTGCTCTCCATGCTTCAGTCTTTCGAAGAACATGTCAAAATCTTGTCAGGCGGCAGCCTTGGGACCTGCTCCGAATCAGGAAGACCTGAAGAAATTGGATCGCGCCTTGCCCACATACATGCTTAAAACTACAGGATGGGATGAGCAGATGGCAATGAAACGCTGGACAGAGACTTTGAAATGGAGGTGCGAAATTGATGATGACAAGGTGGTCCAGCGGCCAAATCCGGATTTTTTTCGAATACATCCGCACTACCCAACATATTTGCACCTGGAAGACCGAGGAGGTCGCCTCACTTACTGGGAAATCTTGGGAGAAATGGATCCTGATGCTTTGGCGCGCGAGGGGCTCACAACTCCTATCATAACCCAGAATTATATTTGGCAAACGCTGTTTACTTGGGACGTTTGGTTGAAGCGAAACGACACTGCAGAAGGAACAATCATAGTAGACATGGAAGGTTTTCGTTTCTCAAAGCTGACCTTCGCCACGATTCAGATGTTTTCACGCACTTCTGCCATAATACAACGGCATTTTCCGGAAAGGGAACACATTGTTATAGTCATCAACGCACCTGCATGGTGGGGCAGAATTTATGATTTGTTTAGTCCTTTATTTTCTGAAAAGCAGCGACGAAAACTTCGAGTTTGTGTAGGTCAAAAATGGTCTGCAGAGACATTGCTTGAGTTCATTGATGCAAAGCATCTCCCTACAAAGTATGGGGGTTTCAGCGGCCCACTTGGCTCTGCGCCAGCTGATGTTTTGAAACAACGATATGCTTTGGAAGGGGCAATTGGATCGACTTAAGAAGGACTCACGGAGCTGTTGCCAGCAAAATGGCCATGCGCGCCAGGTTCAAAAGGCACTTACTCTGGTGAGTTCCTGAGTTCCTTGTTTTTTGATGTGTGCTTGTCCCCTAATCCAAATGCTTCGTGCAGCTGACATTCTTCAAGGGAAAAAACGATCTAAATTTTCGCCGCAAAACCTTGTCTAGAGCCTAAAACTCAGATAGATTTTTTCATCTACTCCCACTGAAAACTCAGACATTATGACATTACATTACATACTGTTCCTCACAAGTTTTTCGCAGAACAAATTCCACAGACAAAATGACAACACGTTTGGACCGTTTGGACATGTTTGGAACATATTTCCCGACATTGTACAGACAAGTCTAATCATCCTCAGTCCGATGGCAGATGGCGAACAGTCTGAAGGCTCAGCCAGGCGAGACCGTCCTTCCCGCAGGGAAGCAGCCGCAGGGGCCAATGGGTTGCCAGTCTTTTGCCGTTCTCGGCACTTCAACCGCTCTGCAAATGTGTACTCTGTACCGTTGTGGGACTTCACCTCACGGTGGCTTCCAGATGAGTTGAAACCATACGAAACGAAGGGAGGGGCCCGCGGCACTTTTGCGCCAGAAAAGCGCTCAGAAGGAAAGCTGAAGGACGAGAACGAAAAGGAAGTGGAAGGAGACGAAGATGATGATGACGATGATGAAGGAATCTCGCCCGATGCACCCTCCGATAGTGAGCAAAGTGAGATTGCATGGGAAGGGCCATTGGGCGGAGCCAGTCGAGCTTGGTTCCGCGGTGCTGTGGATACTGCTCTTGTCTTGCTCAGGAGGTTTCAAATGACTGGCACAGAAGGTGCTTCCGGTGCTTCTGGTTCCACGTATGCCATGGGAGTTTCAGCTGCTTTGATCGCCCCTGAGACCGTGGCAGAAGGTGCCGACTCTTCCATGGACAAACGCCTGGCGCAGATCATTCGCACGCGGGAGCCACAGTGGGCGGTGTGTGCGCTGCGCAGTGGCCATTTCGCAGGTGCCATTTTCAAAGGCCAGGAGGCCGTGGTGCACAAAGCCATCCACAGATACACGGTGCGTGCCAAGGCCGGAGGGGCCCAAAGTGCCTGTGACAGCGGGAAAAAGGTGAAGAGTGTGGGATCCTCCTTGCGGCGCTATGGTGAGCAACGCTTGGCTGAAGAGATCAAAGAGCTACTGACAGAGAAGTGGGCTGATCAGTTGGCTCAGTGTGAGTTGATCCTAGTATCAGTGTCAAAGAGAATGAAGTCAACCCTGCTTGGTACGGAGAAGGAACCCTTTCTTCCTGCAACGCACCGGATACGGAAGCTGCCCTTCATGATTGGGAAGCCAACCTTTGAAGCTGTTCAGGCAGCATACCTCCGTGCGGCCAGCGTGGTTTTCTGCGAAGAGAAGGTGGCGGATCAGATTGCAGCGCGGTTTAAGCCAGCCAAAGTTGAGGAGGCGGTGGAGGCACAGCCTGCGCCAGCGCCCAAGGTCAAGCAGGTTGAGGAGGTGCCAGAAGCAGTGAAATATTCTGAAGAAGAAGATCCACTTTTTACGGCTTTGCATGTTGCCTCCCAGTCAGATGATGTTGATGCCATTCTGGAGGAGCTGGAGAATGGTGCCAATCCTGAGGCTCGTGATGGAAAGGGCCGAGTGCCTTACTATCTCTGCACCACTCAGGCGGCCAGGGAGGCCTTCAGGCGCTGGCGTGGCGCCAACGAGGACGCTTGGGACTGGACCGCAGCCCAGGTCCCTGAAGGCATCACCCAGGAAACTGAGCAGAGAAAGAAGGACAAGGAGAAGGAAAAGCGAAAGAAACAAAAGGAAAAACAAAAGGTGAACAAAGCCAAGGCGAAGGAGGAAGAAGAAGAAAGATTGCGAAAGGACGGAGAAGAAAAGAAAATGCTGGAAGAAGCCCAGGCAAAATGTGACAAGTGTAACAAGCCTTTGGTAGCAAAGCCCTTCGCCAGGCTGAACTATTTGTATTGTTCTCCTGAGTGCGTCAATGAGCACCGACGAGACCTTCAAGCAGAGGCTGCTTTGAAAAGAATTGGAGCTTGAGAAGGGCAGTTTGGTGGCTAGAATGTGCTGCAATGCGCACCACGTAAGTCCCCTTCTGTGTTGGTTTCAGAAGCTTTCTGCGTGCAGACAGCCAAACTGTCAGCACACGCACAAATTTAGAGCAGGTGCTGTCGATCACGCACAGGCTAGTTTCCCAAATTCGTGAGACTGGCAAGGTGTTCAACGGCCTGTGTGAAGTGCTTTAGTGTCTCACGGGACGTGGAAAAAAAGAGGCTCTTTGCAGCATTATTTTCTTCATTGTTTGTGCAATTCAGTGTTGCAGTCGCAAGCGTTATGGAATCATGTCCCTTTGGATGATCACGACATCATCATGTCGATCATTGGCATCCCAGATTTGTGTGGCTCAAAGTATGTCAGGTTCCTCCCGGGCTCTTGCCCGGTCCTGCTGACATGGATCTCTTTCTTTGTAGTTTGCTTCCATTTCTGGTGGCAGTCTCAGTAACCTCAGTAACCAGCAAAACAATGCAAAACAATCATCTCTGCAGTAGGGGATTCCAATCCACCTTCATCATCTGCTGTAAGAGGGGCCGAGGCCAAAGGCACAGTCGCACCTAAATTTAAATGTACACCGAATGCAGATGCATATACTGTACGTATTGTGAAAACCATGTGTTGGTAGGTGTAAGCTTGGTGTGCGGCAGTTTGCATTTTCACTTTTTGCATTTTAGCCGCTTTTCACCGCAGCTTGACTCAAGCGCTGCTCTAGCGAAAATAGCTGCTTTTGCCCCTTTTACTCTGAGCCCAATTTGCTACCCTTGCACTCCGCATTGGTAGCGGAGCGCTGTGATGCTGTCAAAGCTCCAGGCTCCCATGGCCTCGGCTGCGCCGAGACGGCCTGCTGGCAGTAGGGTGGCAACCCAACAAAGGGCTGAGTCCCTGAAGGAGGCTGCGTCTCAAGAAGGAACGCTTCCTTCTCCAATGGCGGCAGCGCCGCACCCGCAAGAGGACTTTCGACGTCATGGTCGTGGCCCCGGATCGACGCACTCCGAGCCGATAGGTGGCAGAGGAAAATCCACTGGGAAAGGCCAGATGCATGCCCAGCCCATTCCTGGTCAGGGATGGTTCACAGATGGGCGCCAGTGGTGGCCAGTGGACCCTGCAATGATGATGGCTTCATGGTCGTCAACGCCCTACTCATCATGGAGTTTCCTGAGCCAACAGACTCAGGTGAACCCCATGGAGTTCGAGAAGATCGGAAAGAGCCAACACGGCACTGGCACAAAGACGCAGACGAAGACCAAGACTGAGCCAGAAGCCGAGAAGCCATCAAAGAAGGATAAAGGCAAGGACAAGGAGAAGAAGGAGGACGCAGGTCGAAAAGGGAAGAAACCAAAGGAGGAGCCTCCCGAGGAAGATCCGCCCGACTGGGGCGACGGAGACGATGGGGAAGACCCAGATGGGTCGGATTACACCTATGAAGAAGAGAGCGAGGAGGAGGAGGAACTCCAAGAGCCAGATCAGGAGGTCGAAGTCACACCTCGGTCTACGGTCAATCTGACACCAAGGACACCGAGGAGCGCAGAAGGTGGAGGAGCCGGGCCGCGACCCGAACAGGCCAGGCAGCGACCTGGGCCCAAGCGACGCGCGGCGGCGCACAGGGTGCATCAGGCGGCAGCAGATCCGCCTAACAGACGCAGACGCGGTGGAGCCCCACCGGATGGCAGCGGCCCTCCATCTACAGCTGGTTCGGGCGCACCTTCAACCCGGAGATCATCGACGATGAACACCGATTCAGTTCGAGACCTACTGCATCAGCGAGACAACCGCCCAGATGGAAGGGCCAGGGCAAACCTGGGCCAAGTGAGACTGGAGATGTTCTCTGGAGACAGGTCCCAGTACCGCAACTGGATGAAGACGATACAGGCTCAGAAACAACTGTATCAAATCCAGGACAACGAGCTGGCGGTGCTGATGTTTTTGAGCACGACAGGAGAAGCTCGGGAGGTCTTGAGTCAGTTGGAGGTGGCCGACATGCAGCAGGAGGGAGGCCTTCAAAGGCTGCTGAGACTCCTTGAGGAGGCCTATGGGAGTAAGGCGGATGAGAGGTTTGAGGAGAGGCAGTCCGCTTTCCTCAATTATCGCCGCTCCCCTGGCCAAAGCATAGCTGCCTATCTAGCAACGCTCAAGCGTTTGCGCACCGAGTACTTGCGCGAGGACACAGGCACAGTCATATCTGACCGCGCATTTGCGCAGCGGATGCTGACCAGAGCTGCACTGACACGCAAGGAAAGGTACGACTGCTTCTTTGCGGCGGGCGGCTCTTACCGCTCGGCCCCAATAGAGAAGGTCTTGAGGTTCCGGTGTGCGCAGATCCACCTGGACGAACACCCGTCGAGCCGACGGCAGGAAGACCGTGCCGGTCGGGCTGTGCAGCGCCAGCCGCAGAGGAAGAAGGTCTACAAGAGATCAGACCGCCGAGGTCCCTACAGGCCTACGAGACATACCCATGTGGTGGACGAGCAAGAAGATGAGGGGTATGACTATGAGGAGGCCTACAACGACACGGACGACGAGGACTTCGAGCAGGAGGCACTCATGGCAGAGGAGGACATGCCCGAAGAGGAGGATTGGTCACAGGAAGAGTTCGACGATGAAGAGCTCGACGATGTGGACTTTGCAGCTGGATGGAAGGCAAAGAACAAGACTGCAGCAGCTAGGCAGTCAAGAGGATACAAAGGCGATGGAAAGCCTTCGAAGGGCAAAGGAAAGGGCAGGCGTCCAGACTCTCGCAACCCAGAAGAAAGGAAGAAGAACTCGACCTGTGCATCGTGTGGGCAGAAGGGTCACTGGCGAGGAGACAGTGTCTGCCCAAATGTCAGGTCTGGAAAGGATGCACCACATCGCAAAGAGAACTCCACCAACTACACCACCGGCAGATCCAATCGAGGCAGCGCCTCAAGTGCCGCTGGAGGGGCCCGCGAGCCCCCACAAGATGTCCGAGAACGAGATGATCGAGAACCTCTGCAGAGGAAGCTGCACCCAAGCGGGTTGAAGAGCACTGGGAAGGCTGCGCCCCCAGAACCTCCTTCACCTCCCCGGAGAGGAGCAATCGACAAGTCTCCAGCAGACACCTTTGTGGTCCCGAGAGCACCACGGGAACCTCCACCACCAAGGAGACAGCCGCCGGAGCCAGATCACCCCCCTCCAGGTAGGAGGAGACCTGTGGAAGCAGCCTCACCTCCGAGGCGTGAACCCGAGTTGGAACCCAAGGCGGAGAACTCTCCAGAGAAGCCCAAGCCGAAGAGAAGAAAGCATTCGGCAGGGGAAGATCGAACGAGAAGATCAACTGGAGAGGAACGAGACAAGAATCGAGACAGAGATCGTGATCGTGGTCGACGTCGTCGCCGACAGGAGGAGGAGCAGGCGGCTGCAGCCGGCACAGAAGAACCTCGTGCGGCAGCTGCCAACGAGGAGGCCTTTGTCTCGCAGCCATCATCAGGTGTCACAGCGCGGCAGTGCAACTGGACACTGATGGTTGGCTCATGGGATGTGATCAAAGACTATAACTCTGAGGCAGAGGAGACGGTCTCATCTCATTCGGACACAAGCGACAGCGAGATTGACGAGTACGTCAAGAAGTATCAGCTGCATGACCCACCAGCGATGAAGAAGACCACCAAGGAGAAGCTGAAGGTCAAGCTGCTGACAGTTTTGAAATCCCTGGCAGAGGACGAGGAGGATGCCGAAGTGAAGAAGCGCTTGAAGCGCAAAGAGAAGCGCCTACAGGACAAGGCGGCAGCTCGAGCCACTGGCTCCCAGGCTTCTGGATCAGAGGCACCCAAGAAGTCAAGAGCCAAGAAGGAGACCCCGGATCCGAAGTTGGATGAGGATATGGGCCTATCTACAGCGGATTTGCTCCAGCTCCTGCCGCACATGAGCAAGGAGGAGAAAAAGATCCTCTACCGCCAGTTGAAGAAGGAACGTGAAGACGAGGCGGTGAAGCTCTTCGGGAAGAACGCGGCCTCAAGCACCCCAACAATGATGAAGAGGCCGGATCGCCGCCGCGATGGGTACTCGGCTGCGTCCGTACCTTCTGGAACAGTGGGCCGCGGCCTAAGAAAGGAGGACGTGCAGGAGCCTCCGGACATGGAAGCCACGATGCCTGTTGGAGTTCGGAAGAAGCGCATGGAACAGTTCAGGAAGGAGCTCTACGAGGCGGCGAAGAACAGAAAAGGGCGCGTGGTACCATCTGAGGCATCGGACTTGCCGACAGCTGAACAGGAAAGTTGCCCTCACCCTTTCGAACGACTGTTGTGGGGAGCAAACTCGAATGCCCAATGGGCAAGCTGCCGAGACTGCAAGCTTCGAAAGGTGCTGTGCTACTCAGCAATGCATGGCGCAATGGCAGTGGACCAGACTATGCCGGACATCCTGGAGGAGGACAATGGAGCGTACCACTCCAACATCCTGGCCCCTGGCCATGTCATTCTGGACACAGGGTGCAGAACAGCAGTGGCCGGTCGAAACTGGCACAACAACCTCCAGGAGCTCATGCGCCAGAAAGGGATGCCTTTCTACAAGGCATACCATGAAGAGGTGTTTCGCTTTGGTGCAGGGGCCCCAGTTTGAGCACAGAGGCGTTCATCTATGCCATCCAGATCTATGACCACAGATCGTGGGTTCGCATTGCCGTCGTGGATAACACTCCGGAGGATGGCAGGGTGGCAGAATGCCCTGGATTGGTGGGCCCGGCAGAGCTGGCCAGATGGAAAGTCCAGATCGACTTTGCCAAGCTCCAAGTTGCCATCCATGGCAAGTGGCAGCCAACAGTTTTGAGTCCTTCGCGACACCCCATTTTGAACTTGCTCAACGTGGGCAACCGTCCAGATCCTGTTCAATGGGAGGTTGGCGAGCTCAGGGAGCTGAGGCAGCGCCTCGCGGCAGATCCACATTCATTTGCCCTCCTGCAGGAGGCACTTGATGAGCTGAGCTCTGATGCCGGCAGCGCCGGGGACGAAGCACCAAACTATGAGGCTGTGCATTGGACGGCACAGCAGCTGGATTCGATGGCCAAATGGCAACAAGACACCGAGTCGGAGGCCATCAATCTGTTGGACGTCATCGGCACGGAATGCTTCCGGGTCACCACAGGTGGGGAGCGTGACGATAGCTCCACTGGATCAATCAGCGAGAGAGAGAGTGAAACCTCTCATGAAGGTGGGCTTCCAATGGTCTTGGATAGCAGTGCAGAGGAGTCCACGAGTTCAGAGGAGGAGCTGCCCGATGATGTGATGATGGCCGGCAGCGCCGGTGACACAGAACAGCTGACCAAAGGTCAGAAGAGGAGGCTGCTTTCAGCCACCAAGCAGGTGAGCGAAGCGGTTGAGGTCGAGTGCGATCGACGCCGCAAGGAAAAGGAAGTTCCACGCTTTCGACGTCTGAGGACAGGGCTGAAGATCATGGAGATCTTCACTTGGAGCTGCATG